GTTATATATATATACTCTAAAAAAGATAGGTAGCACATTTGTAAAACATATAATTCATATTATTTCTGTTTGCATGTAGTTTTAGAAACATTTGAAGGTTCAGATTTTTATTGGCTCACTTAAGATGGACCTTTAGAGCCTTCATGTGAGGGAAAAAGAATGAGCCACATATTTCCTCCCATCTGCTCTACGTACAGATGACGGCCACTGGAAAAAAAACAATTAACTGATTTATTTTTATTTTTTGTGTTTGATATCAGAAAAAAAAAACAGAATTCAGACTTTAATCTCAGAATTCTGGCAGTTCTCACATATTAAACTCAAATAAAATAAAACAAATCAGTAATTTTTTTTTTTTTTTTTCCCAGTGGCTCTAATTATCTTCCGTACAGGACAGATATCTATCTGATTTACCTGAGACTCAATTTCTATTAACAGTTGACAAGTCTACATAACTGATAGTTATAGATATATTAAACTGAGTGAAGAGCATTTCTAAAAGAAGATCTTAAATGTGAAATCTATAATAGATTGAGGCATCTTCAGGTCCTCCAGAAGTTCAGTTTCAGAGTTAAAACCTATTAGTTGTTTTGTGGTTCTTAACCTTTTGTGTTTCCATCCTTTCATTTCCTGCTCTCCCAAATATTCTGCAGAAATCCGATGTTTGTGTCCTTTAGTTTAGGCCGATGGTGGTTCAGGGTAGGTTGCAGGTTCAAACCCGGGCTGTTTATGTGCTGCAGACACACTTCTAGCTGATTATTTAATAAAAGACGCTTCTACGCAGCAGCTCCACTGGCATGAATAGGCAGCAGGAGAGAAACTGCCTGTCGTTTGATTCTGCTTAACGGGAGGGAGAAGTTCCCATTGAACATCTAGAATAGATCTGTTTTTAAAAGCAGTAGAAGCACAGAGTAAAAGGACTAATCCGTCACCTGCAGATTATTTAAATGCAACCCAGAGAAAGTCATAAATAGATGTTGTGATTATTTCCTGAAATGTATTTAAGATCAAGACAGATAAGATAGAAGGCGAATAGCTTTATCTTAATTCTTATCTTTTCCAGTCATTGGCAGCGTGAGTGAAAAGGTTTTATTATTTAAAGTTTATTTCTGGAGAAAAGTGATCAAAGCAGAGACTCTGTTAACTGTTAACAAGTCTTCATAGCTGATAGTTATAGATATATTAAACTGAGGTAAGAGCATTTCTAAAAGAAGATCTTAAATGTGAAATCTATAATAGATTGAGGCATCTTCAGGTCCTCTAGATGTTCAGTTTCAGAGTTAAACCCTATTAGCTGTTTTGTGGTTCTTAACCTTTTGGAAGTAAAACTTTTGCATTTGCTTTATGACTGTTCTGCATAGATTGATCTAAAAATAAATAAAAATGTCTTGAAATAAGCGTATTTCCCCTAAATTTGAGCAGCTGGCCATTTGAAGCAGTACTTCAATTATATATGTTTCACTTTAAATGAGATAATGGAAATGTCTTTTCTTATTCCAGGTGCAAAAATGTCTATCAACAGATCAAATCAATTGCAAATAAACTTTAGTAACATTTTAATCACTTTCAGTTTCCACTTTGGAGTCCGAACAATAAAGTTTCTGTGCTCCCTTTAATCTAATTTATCTCTGTCGAGCTAAAAGCGGTAAATGGACTGTAAGCGTGACCTAAATAGAGTTTTAGTGCAGTTTATCGTATTACTGCGCCTTAATGAATTCCAGTTTGTTTTAAAAAGGCGTCACCTATGGGATGGGCATCCATGCCCCCTTTGGGCCATAAAGTTCACCTGTTAGGACCCATTTTCTGGTTCTTCTCGTCTTCTAAATAGTTTCATGTTGGTTTCTGTTCGAGGCGATTTTATGATTTACCAGGCATAAGTGTTAGAGGTAGTTTAATGTGTAACACGGGTGATTGGTTTAGTGACTCTGCCGTGTTTATCAAGTGACTATGTGATGAGATCACAGCAGTAAAAACTCCGCCACTCCCTCTCCTTCTGGTATTTTTTTCTGGCACAGTTCAAGCGGCTTCCAGTAAGCTACGTGCAACGCACACACTTGGCTGGGTGCCAGTCTACCTGCTCGACAGGTATGTTGACTCAGTGGGAGGAGACCTTGCCCTTTCCTCAGATGGTGTGTGTTTGTCAGAGCTGTTAGATAATTAATCCGTCCAACAATGACCGTATCAAAACATTTATTCATTCTTTTTGCAAAAAAACTCCAACTTCGAATGTCCCCAATAGGACAGAGTTAGGAAGTGGGATTCGCTAAATTCATATTTATCAAAACATTGCACTGCTGAAATTATCTACAAATATGCAAAAACTTGAAAAAAATTAAATAAAGTGTATTGACCCTTAACTTGACGAGGTAAATAAGATGATCTGCCAATGGAATGAATATTTTTTACTCTTAAAATAAGATAATAAGATAATTTGCACTGGAAATAAGACAATGCAATTGTTCTTATTTCACATTT